AGTGTTCTTTTTTTTTTTTTTTTTTTTTTTTAGAGAGTGGGAGGAGGGAGGAGGAAAGAAAGAGAAACATCCATGTGAGAGAGACACATTGATTGGTTGCCTCCCTCATGAGCCCTGACTGAGGCAGGGAATCAAACCTGCAGCCCAGGCACATGCCCTTGACCAGGAATTGAGCACGAGCCCTTTGGTGCGTGGGCCGACACTCTAACCACTGAGAATGCCAGCCAGGGCCGAACCTAACTTATTTTTTAAGGAGCTCCAGGGTGATTCTGATAGGGGCTCAGCTTTGGAACTGCTGATGCAAATCAAGAATGTGGCAAGCATTTCATGAAATTTCGTCTTATTAAAGATATGTTAAAACCTCAGAGCTGGAAAGCTGGACACCTCCAAGACAATGTGTGCCGAAATCCAGGCAAGGGAAGCGGAGGCAGCGTGCTTAGAGTGAATGGCATTGCTGCAGTGAGGTCTCCAGGAGGTTTCAGTGTGATTTCTGGTGCCCTGGGGCTGCGGTTGGCTTATCCCTTTCTTCCTCTCACACTGGATTGACTCTGCACTGTCTCATACCCTCACTCAAGCTCCTGGCCCTCTCCAGGCTCAGTTTTGGCAAGGCCTGTGGACGTGGAGATTCTAAATGTATGTAGATAAGAAAAAAAATTTGTGTACAGATCTGCACTGAATAATCTTTCCAAGAAATTACAGTGGTACCTTGATTTTCAAATGTAATCCATTCTGGAAGACCGTTCGAGTTCTGAAACGTTTGAAAACCGAGGGATCAATAGCCGACAGCTGGGCCTCAGGATCTTGCCCTCAGCGGAAGCCGTGGGGCATGTTCCACTTCCGAGGCGTGTTGGACAATGGAAGCATTTACCCCGGGTTTACGGTGTTGGTAAACCCAAATGTTCGTCAGTGGAGATGTTGGAAAACCAAGGTACCGCTGTACTTTGAACCATACTTAGCACTGATCGAGGTATGTGGACTTCATTCATGAGTGGTTCACAGACTCATTCTCTATTTCACACATTTATTATCGCTCCAGGTTTGACATTCTGGGTACAATGAAAAGGAAGCTGAGAACAGATATTCATTACCCACTCACTAACTTGGACCTTACTCCTTACATTTGTCCAGTTTTCCGGAAACATCCTAAATATAACCTCTGTGCAGTGGTGGTGAGTAAAATATACAACTATTTAACACAAATTTAAAGAAAACTGTAGAATTACCTGCTTAAATGCCTATTCCCTGACTTCTATATGTTCTGTTTTAAAACAAAGTACAGAGCCTGGAAACTCCCTGCTTTGACCTTGAGCAGTGAAAGAATAAAATGTCCTGGTTGCTGCCTCCTCACTTTCCCTCCACTCAGTGGCTGTTTAAATCTAGGGACATCAGCAGATTGTGCTCTGGGGCAGCAGAAGTTGGTTTCAATAGCTTTATGCTGAATAATCGTGAGCCATTCTATGGCCAAAGCCCCCAAAAGCTAAGTATGTGATAGTTGCACACTCATTGTCTGTATACAACCCAGGGACCCCTTTGGCTCTATGTCAACTCTCATCATTGAGGATTCCCAGAAGAGGAGAAAGCATGGGGTATAATTCAGAAAAAATCATCTACTATACAGATAGTAGATAATAATAGCAATAGCTATCATGTATTGAGCCTGGCACTATGTTAAGCACTTAACATGTATTTTCCCATTTAATTCTTTCAACAATTCTATGAAGTATGTACAATTATTTTTAAATCCTGTGTTATAGATGAAATATCTTGTGGTTTAGTCATTTGCTCAAGGCAGTATATTAAGGGATGTGCAGTGGTATGTAGAGAGAAGGGACGCTTACCTACCTACCTACCTACCATCTGTCTGTCAAGAATTATTTGGGCCCGGCCAGAGTGACTCAGAGGTTGAGCATCGACCTAGGATCCAGGAGATCATGGTTCAATTCCCAGTCAGGGCACATGCCTGGGTTGCAGGCTTGATTCCTAGTGGGGGACATGCAGAAGGCGGCCGATCAATGACTCTCTCATCATTGATGTTTTTACTTCTCTCTCCCTTTCCCTTCCTCTCTCTGAAGTCAATAAAGATATTAAAAAAAAGAAAAGAAGAATTATTTGGATTTATATATCACATATTAAGAGTGGGTGTATGGGCCCTGGTTGGGTATATCAGTTGGTTAGAGCACTGTCCCCTTGCATCAAAGTTGTGGGTTCAATCCCCAGTCAGGGCACATACAGGAGTAAACCAATGAATGCGTGAATGGGTGGAGCAACAGAGTAGTGTTTCTCTTTCTCTGTCTGTCTGTCTCTACCTTCCCCTCTTTCTCTAAAATCAATAAATTAAAAAAGAAGAATGTGTGTGTGTACATGCATACATATATATAGCATATAGACATTGAGACCATAATACATACACATACTGTATACATATATTGAGTACATACACATGTGTATATTATATATGTATACATACATATAAAAACACACATATATACATAGAGGGAAAGAAAGAGTATAAGAGCATATAGACTATAAAAAATAGATCTTAATTAAAATCCTGACTCTGCCACTTACTAGTTACATGACTGAGACTCTTATGCCAGTTTCTCATCTATAAAATAAGAGTACTGCTACTTGCCTTATAAGATTGTTGTGAGGAATAGATTAAATGATGCAGGCATATGGCATAAGTTACCCTCCCCAGAGATCAGGAAGACATTCACCTATATTATCATATAAAAGCTTAGTTTTACCTTAATACAGTTTTCAAAATTATACTTAAAATTGTCCATTTTTTACATTTTCAAATGTAGTGGTAAATGTCACTTTTTTTTCTTTCCAATTATTACATCTCTTATTTCTTTTTCTTGTCTTACTGCTCTGACTAGGACCCCCAGTATGTGTAGAATATATTGTGTTACTCCCGTCTAGACAGCAAAATTTCTGCTGAAAAGTCTGTTGATAGTCTTAGTCAATGGGGTACGGGAGTGGGTGGGCAGATTCCTTTGTAGTAACAAGTCGTTTTCTTCTTGTTGCTTTTAAGATTCTCTCCTTGTCTTTAATTTTTTACTTTTTAATTATAATGTATCTTGGCATGGGTCTCATTGGGTTTGTCTTATTTGGAACTTTCTGGGCTTCCTATATCTTTTTTAAAAGAAATATTTTAATGTCTATTTCCTTTCTCAAGTTAGGGAAGCTTTCAGCCATTATTTCTTCAAGTAAGTTTTCTGCCCCTTTTTCTCTTTCCCTTCTGGGACCCCTGTAATGCAAATGTTAGTCTGTTTGGTGGTGTTCCATAAATCCCTTAAGCTATCGTCATTCTTTTTAAATTCTTTTTTCTTTTTGCTACTCTGATTGGGTGAGTTCCATTGCTGTCCTTGAGTTCACTATCCTTTCTTTCATTTCATCTAGTCTGTTGAAGCCTTCTAGTGTATTTTTCAGTTCAGTTTTATATTTTTCAGCTCTATGACTTCTCTTTGGTACTATCTTATATTTTTTATCTCTGTTGAGTAGCTCTCACTGTTCTTTTCCTGAGTTCAGTGACCATCTTTTTGACCATTACTTTGAACTTTTTATCAGGTAAATTACTTATCTCCGTTTCATTAATGCTTTTTTCTGAGGTTTTATCATGTTCTTTCATTTGAAACATAGTCCTTTGTTTCTTCATTTTGCTTGACTCTCTGTAATGGTTTCTATGTATTAGATAAAACAACCACCTCTTAGCCCTGGTGGGGCTAAGATTTGGGTTCAGTCCCTAGTCAGGGCACATAGAAGAATCAATCAAAGAATGCATAAATAAGTGAAACAACAAATCTATGTTTCTCTCCCCCTAACCCCCTTCCTCTCCCTCTCTAAAATCAATAGGTAAAAATTAAAAAACAAAAAACAGCCACCTGTGTGAGTGGCCTTTTGTAGGAGATGAGCCTTATTATTCAGCTCTGCCCTAGTCTTGGTTGTCTTTCAAAGTTTTGTGATTGTCTGAGCAGGCTATTGTTTTTAATAGCTCCCAGTAGCTGAGGCTGTGACAAAACCTATCATTGTCTCAAAGGAGAAGAGCTCAGTCAGCACCAAGAGTTAGGCTGCTTGGAAGCCAGACCCTAAGGCAGCAGGTTTTAAAGTATGCAAGTCTATGCTTCCCAGTGAGAATGCAAGCGTCAGACTGCAAGTGGGAGACGCCAGTATGCTGTATAAGGCAGAGGGAAGGTGCAAAGATGGTGTCCACCAGCCTGTCTTCCCCGAGAGCACTTCTGTGGGCCCCTCACTGTGTGACAAACCAGAGCCTGTCCCTCGGGCTGAAGCTCCAAGACAAGCAACTAGACCTCTTTCACGGAAAGATGGGGTGTGTTTCACTCTACTATCTGTGCAGTGCCCTGGGGGTGGTAGCCTGTCGGGAACTCTCTCTCCAATTATCACAATCCCATGAGACCCAGGAACACAGCTCTCCTTGGCCACCTTGACCAAGCAGTCAAAGGAATCCCCTGGGCAGCAGCCACAAAAACCAGGGTACGAGGTACATGTAAAAGCTCCCCTCAGGTGATACTGGCTCTAGAGCATGGCCAAGGGGGAGGGAGAGATAGTGTCTATCTCTGAGGTCTCTGGAAAGGATTACAATCAGCCCATAGTCATGTCTTCAATTAGAAGCCTGTCCCTCAGGCAGTTGCGAGGATAAGCGAATAGGGCACTTTCACAGAAAGAGCTCCTGGGTCTGTTGCCTCTTGCTGTGTCTTGGGGGTGGTAGCAGTTTAAGAACTTTTTCTCTGTGGCTGAAGCCCTGTGAGAACCACAGGTGTAAGCCCCACGGGCCACCAGAGCCAGGCAATGTAGAAGTGTTCCCTGGCAGCGGCTGCCAAAAGGGAGCCCTAGAGGAGGGCATAAGCTCCTTTCTGGGAGATACTAGTGAGCTGGAGAAAGGCAGAGGGAGAGCACAGAGATGGCTTGCGGCAGCACATGTTCCCTGAGAGCCCCCCATAGGTCCTTAAGCAATGTGCCAAACCAGAGCCTCCCTCCCAGGCTGCAGCTCCTGGAAGCAAAGTGGCCTCTCTCGTGGAAAGACTCATTTACAACAAATGAGACAAGAACATACAATAGGGAAAGGAAAGTCTCTTCAATAAATGGTGCTGGGGAAACTGGACGGCCACATGCAAAAGAATGAAATAGAACTCTTACACGATATACAAAATTAACTCCAAGTGGACTAAGGACTTGAACATAAGACCTGAAACCATAAAATACATAGAAGAAAACATAGGCAGTAAGCTGCTTGACATCAGTCTTAGGGATGTTTTTGTGGATTAGACTCTAACAGCAATGGAAACAAAAGCAAAGATAAACAAGTGGCACCACATCAAACTAGAAAGCTTCTGTACAGCAAAGGAAACCATCAGCAAAAGGAAAAGGCAACCTACTGAATGGGAAAAGATACTTGCAAATCATACATCTGATGGGGTTAATATACAAAATACAGAAGTCATACAACTCAAAATTGAAACCGCATTGAGGTATCACTTCACAGCTATTAACGTCTATCATCAAAAAGACAAGCACTCAGAAGCATGGGATAGGATGCCGAGAAAAGGGAGCTGGCGTGGACTGTTGGTGGGAGTGTAAGTTAGTGCAGCCACTATGGAAAGCGGTGCAGATATTCCTCTTAAAATCAAGAACTGCAGTATGGTTGTTATCCCACCTCTGGGTATTTATCCTAAGAATACGAAACACTGATTTAAAAAGATACACGCACCCCTGTGTTCACTGAAACTTCATTCGTGATGGCTGAGATATGGAAACAACCTAAGTGTCCACCGATGGATGAATGGATAAAACAGATGCGAACACACACACACACACACACACACACACACACACACACACACACACACACACAGGAACGCTACTCAGCTGCTCAGCCGTGAAAAAAGATGAAATCTTGCCATATGTGACAACGTGGATGGATCCTAAGGGTGTAATGCTAAGGTAAATAAGTCGGACAGAGAAAAACAGATACTGAATGATCTCAGTTATATGTACACTATAAAAAACTCCACAAACAAGCAAAGAAAGAATCACAGAGGAAGACAACAGATTGGTGGTTACTAGAGGGGAAATGCTGGTGGAGGGGAGGGGGCAATGAGCAAGGGGTCCATTGTAGGGCGACAGATGGAAACCAGACTTTTGGTGG